TCCTAATAAGAAAATTTATAATAGATCATGCGCGTGGAAATTATTAGTAATATATATAATCTGAAACTGCCTGCGTAACCTTTCGTGGTTTTCCACTCCATGTAATGCTAATGCAGGTTAGTTCCATCAAAAAGTTCCCCGCGAAGACGAATTTCTCCCAATACTTGATCCAGGCATTCCCTTGTCTTCTGTATTGGGTTCAAAGTTACAAGACTACGGAGTTGAACATTAGTGATCGTAAACACAAAATTGGATTGGCTGTTCAACGAAGGTTATAAAATTATAAACTACATTAATAAATAACTTGTAATCGTGATTACAACTTAGAACTATCTTAATGACACGTAACCAAAATACATAATTACTTGCAATCATTATTACCCGTAGCATGATTACAAGTAATCAAAATTTAAGATTAAAAATCATCTACCTGCATGTATTAAAATTAAGGGTACAGGGGACCTTCAAATTTGAAAAAAAGTGACCATAATTTCGATTTGGAGATTTTTATTATTTCAAAAAATAGACGTTATAAGCTTTCAAAAAAAAAATTTTGGAAATCGAACCTTTTCTTACTGAGTTATGAGGATTTTAATTAGGCCACGCCAATTTGTTTACATTCAGAAAACAGAAGTCAGTAGCTTGAAGCAGCCGATTTTTTTAGTTTCGTTTTAAGCTAAAAGAGCTTTATATTATTCAAAATACAAGAAAATTAGTGATGATCAAAATTATGTAAGATTAGAAGGACCCTTCTATTGTGCTGGAGGATTTTAAGAAAATTTTCTATATTTGACTCGCACACAATTAGTTTTTACATTTACATTTGAATCAATGTTTCATTCTTCGTTTGATATATCATTCATATTTTTTAAAATAAATTAATTTCATGCTTACTTACTTATTTTATGTTATTACTTTAGTGAATTTATTTGCACTAAATTTTGAATAAGTAAATATGCTTGTTGAGTACGTTTGTGTATTTCTTTTCATAGGCACATATTAAGTTGAATTTTCATCCATTTCAACATAATTATGGAGATAAAAGTACAGATATATGCTTAATTAGTCATTTTTCAGATATTATACACAGCTAATAGTGCTATTTTAAATACATTTAAAAAAATGCTATTTTCTCAAAATGAAATTTTTACGGATTTTTGTGTTTTCGAAATGCTCTATTTGTCTCAATTTTTTTTTTTTTTTTTTTTTTTTTTTTTTTTTTGGTTGAAACTTGTTTTATGTGTACTATGTATGTATGTAATTAAAACTTACCATGTTTTGTCACCTAGAATTTTGATAAAATTTGTTTAAAGTAAAAAAAGTTTTAAGATTTTTAAAATTTTCATGAAATGCATAAAAAATTTGTTTTTTGAGCTAGAGCAATATAATTAGCCACTGAATGATGGTAACTTTTATTTGGAAATCAAAAATGAGTCATATAAAAAAAGTATGATTCTGCGGTGAATTTTAAGCCGCATGGAGTGTTTTGACCTTATCGGATTTTATGCTATTTTAAAAGTTCAATACCTTTAAAAATTATTAATCAAATTACATGAAATTTTGTATACAGCTTTTTAAAGATATTATGAGTAAATACTATGAGCTTCATAAATGTAGCATAAAAACTCTGAAAGTTGGTTTTTAAGGTACCCTTAAGTGTTACTCTCAGATTTCAATTTGTAAAAAAAAATAGTCATTGTGAGATATTGTTTGTGATTTCCTTTTGAAATAATTAACCTGCAAAACCTTGAAAGTAAATACAATTCCTATAATAACAATTGCTATTTCTGATAATTAAAATAAATAATTTCAATGCATTCTCACTTTTAGAAAAATATTATATATGTAGTTTTATTTTTTTTTTGTAGATCAGACACGATATTGAAAACGACTTACCACTAAGATTTGGTTTCTATGGCGGAATTTGCATGCCATCATCATGCACTGATGAAGACCTAAACAAAGCGATCAGTACTCGTAAGATATTGTTTATTCACAAATTAAATCTTTGAATATGTATATGTTAACCGTGGATGACCGAAATCAAGAGAATGTCGACTTTCACCGTCAACAATCACATAGTCACTTTGGTGAATGTTCTAAATATTTGTTATATCCGATTTGATATTCATTTATTCTTAGATATTATTATATTTAATCGGTACTTTAATATCTGCTGAGGATAGATGAGGAGAAACATCAGTGTTCGGAGTACCGTTTAAATGCATACCGGGAAGTGGCACTTGATCTTAAAAAACACTGATGGATGTAGGGCATACCGGGCAAATGTATATGGGGCAGTGGCATTTAACTAGACCTAATATATATTACCAAAGGGACTATGTGATTGTCAACATTCTCCGGTGGAAGTCATTCACTGTAACATATACATTATCCCCCACCTTTTTGAAATTTGAGACCAGTTATAATTTTTTCAAGTGTTTACTATTTTACTTATAACTTTATTTGCATAAACCTCCCATGAAAATTGTGACATATTTTTAGACTTTTCCTCACTATATATTACAAAAAAGCAGATTGATCTATTTTTATTCAAAAAATGCAGGTATCCAGCTTTTTAACCTCTTATTTTATGTTGAGATTTAAAATCACTACAGTTGGATTTTTATGAATCATCTGCTCTATACCAGTAATAAAGTTAATTAGATTTTATGCCTATTCAAATTATTACCATTTTTTCTTCTAACTCTGTATATAATACTATTTATAGAGTCAAATGTTTAACAATCATGCACAATGGAGCTAGGCGTATAATACAGTAGAAACATAAATAATATCTAAAAACCTGTGTTGTTCAAAAAACATTATTACAGTAATCAATTACTGGTAATCATGATCACAGCCTATCATGATTTTGATTACAAATGTAATAGTAAATACAATTATAAACTACAGTAATAAATAACTTGTTATCGTGATTACAACTTAGCATTATTTTGATTACTCGTAACCAAAATATATAATTACAGGATTTCAAGTAATCAAAATATAAGGTTAAAAATCACTTGCCGTTTTATCTTCTAATTCTGCTTACAATATTGTTATTTTTTTTGCGGTATTTTCAATAATTTTTTTTTAAATATATCCTTCTGAAACCCCGGAGCATAAATGCCATGTCTTTATATCTAGAAAGTGAGTTTGTCTCATTTCTTGCCTCGATAGTTTCTTGCTTTCTAAGTTGGGTTTTAAGTCACAAGAATTCAATGCCATTTAATACATGGTTTTACGCTGCAGATAAATTAAAATAAAATACAGACTGTTTATGAAATATTTTGAGTTTTTTCCTCCTTAAAAAATCTTTTTCAGTTACTGATATAGATTAAACAAATACTTGATACTATTGTCAATAACTAAATTGATTTTCATACAGTTTCTTTTCTCAGTTTCAGAACCGTTGAATTTAGATGTTAATCTCACGGACTGTCAGGTAGAGGAACCTCTAAGATTACCTGCTTCAGCAATACTTTTTATGTAAGTATATTATATAGATCAAAATAGAATGAAATACTTTAAAGTTTGTAACATGAACGTCTTCTGATGATATATTAGATTCCTTGAATATAATATACAGGGTGTTTCCTAAAGACCACTCCTAATATATATATATATTTTAACCTTTTGAAAAATGGAGGAAGAAACTTATACGCATTAGAAAGCCCGCATTTCCTAGCAATGGAGAAAAAACAATAGGGCGTTACTGATTTATATGACTGTTTGGAACATTTTAGTAGGAATAAATATGACTTTTTGCATCGATACGTAGTAATGTAATCAGGTATGTACGCTACATTAAAAATAAAACAAATCGGCAATGTCAATAACTGAATGGAGAGAAGTGCAAATTTCCTAGAATGGTTAAAAAAAATTAACAGTTGCCTGAAAAATTTCAGTTTCAAATGCGAATTTACCAAACATTTTTTTTTTAATACGAATGATACCATATTATCAACCACTTAAAAATTTTAATACTATCAACTGAAAAATTGCACAGAATTATTAGAACATTTTTAGGATTAAATCCGAAAATAAAGCCTCTTATGGCAAAGAGGTCAACGCTATTTTATCAAGACAAAGCAAAATCACCCCAAGTCGATAGTTATGATACCAAAACTTTCAATTGCATTTGAGCTCTCAAATAGTACTTCACCCAATTATACAATTACTAGACGCACTGAAAGATTCTATGTAAAATCTTAATTTTCAAGTGATACTATACAGCTTTATTGTTTTTACGCCGCTGAAACCGGTTTGAATTAGTTTAACTTCGTGCATCAATTGGTTAACATTGCAATGCAATACGTTAAAAATAAACACAAATAGGAAGTATATTAAAAATCTCCTGAAAAAAGCCCATTTCATGTACGTTTAAATATAAAAGTATTGCCTATAAACTCGTGCAAAACATGCAATTATTAAAAAACTGCGGTGCGTCTAATCATTTGGTATAATTATTATAATATAATACCTCATATAATAATTATTCTATATTTATATAATATATCGTCTAATTTATCTAATCGTCTAATTTATATTATCCATCGTCCAATTTAACCAATAGATACAGGAACGTAAACAAGTGCAAACGGCGTCAAAACAATAAAGCTGTATAGAGTATCACCTGATAATTAAGATTTCACATCGAATCTTATAGTGCGTCTAATCATTTGGCCACAGACTGTACATTATCGAGATATGGTGACTATTTTATTACCTATTTACAAAATAAAATGGTACTCCTTTATAATAAAATTGACTAAGAGAAACGTTTAAAGTCACAAATAGTAAAATTTATTTAAAAAAAACTCAAAAGCGTTTCACTGTCACACTTTCATTAGTAGTAGGTAGGAGCAACATCTTTTCCCTTTTCTCAAAGAAGCTACACCAGGAATCTCCATATGACACTCCATACAAATGTCGTCTAGAAAACTGTAGTGCATTTCTCTTTTTTGTTTTCTAACTGAGAAAAGCTATTTAATTACTAGAGACATTTAGGTAAGGATACGTCACTGTGAAAGAAGATTATTATTTTTAGTCTCAGAGTTCTTGACCGATTATTTACTAAAATATATTTATTGTTTATGCTTATGATATGCCATATAAGAAAAATCACTTGTTGATTTAAATCATAGAGTGTGAGTTGCTGAGCTGGACGTGGCTGATTATGAAAGTAGAAAAACAATCTTTATTGTTTGTAAAAATCAGTAATAGTTCGTTTTACAAAATGCGATTAATAATATCTTGCCATAGAAGCCTATTGTTTTCTCATTAATTTTTGCCATAAACCTAGGATGAACTTTTCTTCACAAAGTACCTTAGGAGTTTGCCATACATCCGCGGCAACAGTTCTCCATACCTCTATGGCATAAGGCTGTTGACTTAACCAGAAGGATGTTGATTAAGTTCAAGAAACTTGAGGAAGAAGAGAAAAGAAAGTTCAAGAAGAAGTAATATAAACAGAAATTCGAGGAAAAATGAAAAAAAGCTCGAAAATTGTCATGAAAAAAGAAATAAATGATGATATTCTATAGAACTTGTCTTGCCGTTGACTTGACCACAGTAGAAATTACAGAAATTGAAATACTGTTTTTTCAATTCACACCGTTTCACAATTGAAGTCAATTTTAAATAAACAAAAATTTCTATTAAGATGGACAAAATTATTTGAAAAGTACTATTGTGTTTGCAGGATTGGCTTAAGTAATTCAGTGACAGAAAAAAGTTCTGGAGTGACAGAAAAAACACATTAGCTTCCCTCATCCCACACATTTTAATGAATTAGTGGTATAGTGTGTTTCCATTAGCTTATTATATATGTAAGGTATATAAGCTCCTTCATAAGCTCACTATAACTATATGACGGGTTCCCACTAGATACGTGTATGGGTCCTATAATTTAGCTATATATACACTCTATAACAAAAAAAATCGACGCACCAAGAAGGAGTTGTCCGATTGAAACAAAAATTGGTGGCAATGCACAGAATGGTAAATGATTTAAATTTCAGAACAATTGAATAATTTATTGCAGAGTTACAGTAACAAGTTCAATAAGGTGTTGACCCGCCTCTAGCCTGGATGCAAGCTGCCACACGGCGTGGCATAGACCGATAAAGCTCCCGGATGGTCTCTTGCGGTATTTCCTGCCAAATTCGATC